GAGCTAAACTTCCTGAAGGACCCACGTGGCTCAGGGTCTCACCTCTCATCTGCCCCCGACCCAGTCTACTCTAAGATCAAACAGTGGCTCTCCGGGCCTCCCCACTCCTGGTCCCAAGTCCCGCAGGCATTGCCCTCCCACAAGGCTGGCCTGCAGCCTTTGCAGGTCGGCTACTTGCCTGCTGGAGATGCCCCTTCCTCTGCCTTGAGGATACCCCCTCCTTGGGTTGCTCCCCTGACTTTCTGCCCACTCCTTCCCTGCTTCTCCAAGGGCTACTCCCTTCCCTTTGCTGCCTTAAGATGTTGGGGTTCTGGGGGCTTGGTTGTAGGCCCCATCTTCCCCCTTCTCTGCTCTCCCGCGATACTCTGAAGGCTGAGGGCTCAGGTATGAATTCCCTGTCTGCATGTCATTTCTGGGTGGCATTCAGAGACCCAGTAGCCTCTGGGCATTGCAGCAACCTGAGTGTCTTGCCAACAGCTCCACATCATCTTATCTAAAAGAATGATTGGCCATCATCTCTTCCTCTGTTCCAAGCACCACTTCACTCCTGCTCAGCCTAAAGACCCACCCTACCCATCCAAGGATCCGTGGTGTGAACCTGGTGTCAGCCTAGCCCTGGCTCTTTCCTGCCGCTGGCTGCCCCAGGCAGTCACCTTGTTCCTCTGCTGCTCTCCAGCCACCCATTCCTCTCTAGTACTATTCCCTTCCCTATTGCTTGCTCAAATGGAGGCAAACTCCTCTGCCCCACCCTGACCGTTCATTCTTCCCATGACAGCCACAGTGTTCTAAAACGCACATCTGATGGGGTCTCACCACTGTTGAACACTTCCCTAGGCTTCTGTCACCCGCAGGAAGAAGCCCTGGCCCCTCAGCAAGGCTCACAGTCTAGCCCCTGCTCCCCATGTGGCCGCCTCCTCACCCTACTTCTCACCCAGCCCAAGCTGCACTCACCTAGCCCACCGTGCCCTTCTTTGGCCTTGTGGTGTTCTTCCCAGCCTCCTGGCTTTTACCCTTGGGGGCCTTTCTCCTGCATATGCCCCCTCTTCTTTGCTAACTTTCCTCCTAACCTTCAGGACCCCCAAACCCCCACTCTGATACTGATCCCCACAAGGGTCTCCTGCTGTGCCTGGGAGCTTCCCCCACCTTTCTCTGTGCCCACCCTCTCCATGTGCTGCTGTTTCCTTATCTGCTTTCTCCACTAGACCACAGGCTCTTTAAAGACCCCCAGGCTTAGCTCCGTGTCTGGCACACCGATGATGCTTTCGTAAGTATTGTTTAAATAAATTACTGAATGTGTGAATGCCATGTTCCATATACTCCTCTCTCCTAGTACACAAAGACATGTAAGACAGCTTTGGGGTGTGCATTTACTGTAGCTTTAATTTGTTAAGAAAGGAAAGTGGTGGGTGATGCTAGGGTTATGGAGGAATCAAGGCTGAAAGTGTGGGCTCTGGAGCCAAGATCCCGGGGCTCAAATCCAAGCTCTGTTTCTTGCTGAGGATGTGAGTTTGGGCAAGTTACTTCGCCTCTCTACACCTCAGGTTCGCTGTCTTTGAAATGGTGATGATAACTGTGCTCATCTCAAGGACTGTGGGGGAGGGTTAGATGCATTCATGCTTGAAAAGCCATTGAAGGTAGGTATCATTATTCCCATTTTACAGATGAGGAAGCTGAGACTCAGAGAGGTGATGCCGCTTCCCCGAGGTGGAGCAGCTGGTAAGGAGAGGGCTGGGATTTGAGCAGCTTCTGGGTGGAAAGCTCCAGATATACTACTCTACTATGGCCTGAAAAGGGTGCTTCGTGAAGAATCTGCTGTAGGGCCTGGCGCATAGTAGGTACACACTAAATATTACTCATGTAAACGGATCCCTCTGCAGAGACCCATCTAGGCTTCAGCATTTCCTGCTCCCTTAACAGTGTCGGGGGAGGTCTGTCTCTGGGTCCTTTTTGGCCAGGGTGTTGGCAGCAAACTCTTCCTTATTCAGACCTTTCTTCTGTCCCAGCATTTCATGGGGGAGGGTCATTAAGAAAGCTTTTTCCCAGGAAGAGCTGTGCCTTCTCCAAGTCTCCGGAGTTGAGTGCCCCAGCCCCCATCCTCTCAAAGGCTGCCCTTGTGGGTTTCAAAACAACCCCACTGCCCTACAGGCTGAGAACCTGGCCCCCGAGCCCCCTTTCCTTTAGAAACCAAAGGTCCATTCCTAGTTAAAGTCAGCGTTGGTAAAACCTGAGGAAAATAGTTTGAGGATGTTTTCAAACAGTGTCTGGTAAAACAAAAGAGCAATTCATCCTCCGTAGCTTTTAGTAATCTGCTTCCCATTCTGGGAATTAGATTGTTCAATTAAGCGAGAGGGTGCCGGAGCAGGCTGCATGACTCAAAAGTTTGCAGCATCCACATTGTGGAAGAGAGGGGATCTGAGCCAGCTTGTGCCTGGCGGGCCTGCCCCGCTTTCTCCCTCTGTCCCCATGTGGGTTCCAGTTTTCAGGTCCCAGGTTCAGAAAACAACTACTTCAACAAGAAGGCACGTGTGTGTGTACGTGTATGTGTGTGTGTGTGTGTGTGTGTATGTGTGTGTGTGTGTGTACATGCATGTGTGCATGTGCATACACGTGCATACACCCCGGCTCAGTAGGGACCTCGTGTGTTCCTCCAGTGACAAGCTCAGCATCTCGAGTGGGCTGGTGCAGAGTACACCTGGGCTGTTTCTGTCAGCAGCAGCCCTGATTCCTTCCAGCTCTGGGTTGTCCCTTGTAGTTCACCAGCTGATGGGCATTGGGGATGCTTTGGGTGGCCGTGTGTAAGGCAGGGTAAGCCCACACAGCTCTTAATCTGGGCAAAGGAGAGCCAGTAGGTACCCTGAAATTCCTGCAGCATTTTGGGAGCCAGTGTGTTTCCCTGGGGAGAAAGTCCATCCCTTCGGTAACTTCTCAAGGGATCCATGACTTCCTCCCTCAAACCCCTCTCCTCCTCCCTCCAAAAAAAAAAAGTTTAAAAATGATTCGGGTGGCATTTGGAGATCACACCTTCATTACCAAAAACTCTTCTTCTGTAGTGCTCAAGCCTTACTGTGTATGAGAACTCCTAGGGGAAATCACAAAGTGTAGCTCCCTGGGAGCCACTTTGCAAAGGTTGGGACCCAGTGGGTCTGTGGGGGTGCAGAAAGGTTTGTATTTCTGGCAAACCTTTGGGATCAGGGATCATGCCCAGGGATCATGCTCGGGGACATGCTACTCTGTTATACTCATAGATTCTCTTAAAGGCCTCATTTAATAAGGCCTGTAGTTTTAAAATGAATTAAAGCCAGAGACTGCTAAGACATAAGAAGCAAATAAAATAACAATTGTTATTATAATTAAATGGCTGCCTCCTTTCCTTCATAAATAACTGGGACCTTTTTTTGGTCCACCTTATTCTAGTAGAGAGCAAGGGCCATATGATGCTTATCTTTTTTATCCTAGGGTCTGATATAGTGCCTGGCACTTAGTAGGTGCTCAGTAAATGTGTATTGTATTTCAGTGGATGTTCCCACTTCTCCTGGCTAAGAGTATGAAAGCTGATTTCCTTTTGAGTAAATCTATGACTGCACACAGTCTGATTTTGTTTGGGGGCCTGCCTGATTTCTCTGGCGGGGCTGGGGCTGGAGGGAGCCTGTAGACCAGTGCTAATTGGTGTCATTGAGTAATTAATGCAGAATCAGGCCCTGAGCGGATTCCCAGGGAGACAGACACTGAGGGTGGCTTTCATGCTTGGTGGGATGGGAGCTCCTTTCTCAAAGGACGTTCCCAGAGTGCCGAGGCGACTGGCTTGGTCTGGTGGGGGTTGGTTTGGCAGCCGGAATGGGATTCGTGGAGCAAGCTTGGAGAGGGGGTTTGTGTTGGTGCCATAGTTCTGCACAATATGGAGCGTGGCGAGTTTGACTTTAAAGGAACACAAACCCCAGGCATGGGCTCTGAGAGCCAGGCCTGCGTCAACTCTGAAGAATTGATGGGTTCTGAGGGAAGTGAGCCTGGTGGCATTAGCTTAGCTCACCCAGAGTCTTCCCTGTCCTGTGGCCTGGGCCCTCTGGGAAGCCTCTACACTTTGGCATGATAGTCAAGGCTCCCCCTGGTACCACCTCTGCTTACCTTTCCTGCTGTTTCCTTCTGATCCCTGCACCCCAGCTTGCTGTTCCCAAAGCACACCATCCTCTACTTCTGGTCATGCTGTTCCTTCCACCTAAAACCATCTCCACTTCCTTCTTCTTCTGACCAAATTCCACTTACCTTTCACAATTTGGCTCACATATCACTTCTTTCAGGAAGCTCTCCCTGACCCGCTGTAGCAGTCAGGATATGTTGGGTTATGCTGCAGTAACAAATGTCCCCAAAGAGCTCAGCAGCTTCAAGCAACAAAGTTATTTCCTGCTCAGACTATGTCTCTGACACAGTAGCAGATGGTCACTCAGGAACTCAGGTTTTTCAAGGCTCTGTCTTGACACATGCTTCTGTAATGACAGCAGAGTTAGGGAGAAGAGATGATGGAGAACCATACCCCCAGTCTCTGGAAGCTTCTATCTGAAATGGCACGTGTTTTATTGTTGGTCAAACAATGGTCAAAGCAAGTCCTATGGCCCCCCTCAAGTTTGTCAGGGCAGGATGTAGGGGCTCCCTTCAGGGAGGAATATAGGATATTTATGGCTGGTAATATGATCTCCTGGGAACCCCAAGGTAGGCTGGATGCATCCTCCATCGGAGCCCTTTCCATGCTGTTCTTGTACTACATTTGTAGACTTGCCTGTCTTTTTCCCCAGAGAGTGAATCCATGATCCAAGGTCCAGAGGGCAGCGTCTTGTTCCTCTCGGAGGCCCCATGTCCTCCCCAGAGGAGACATTTGGCCCATGGTGGACGTGGGTGAATGAGCACATGGGCCAATCCCTGCTCCTCTGCAGCACTAGCTTTGCTGAAGATGAGCCAGCCCCAGCCCCAGCCCCAGCCCCAGTGACTCTCCACCCTACCTTCTGCAGGCGCCGGGTCTTGGCCATCTCCGATGGGATCGAGCACATCGGGAACCTTCGCTGGGAGCTGGCCTTGTGTCTCCTGGCAGCCTGGACCATCTGTTACTTCTGTATCTGGAAGGGGACCAAGTCTACAGGAAAGGTAAGAGGTCAATCTTCAAGCAGCTAATCGTGGCAGGGGAAGGCATGAGCTCACAGATGACCCAGAGAATAATGGGGAGTTCATGTTGCAGAGGCTAGCACTTAAGTTGGGAGGCGGGAGGAACACTGGACCAGAGTGAGCTCTACCCACCCTCAGCACTTATTGGCCGCCCACGTTAGGACAGTTCAATTTTACCTTCTGAGCCTCAGTTTGCGCATCTATGAAATTATAAAGCCTTGCCCTGTCTGTCTTATTGAGTTGAGAGTTATACAAGGTAAGAGGGTTAAAGTGCTTTGAAAATTGGGAAATGCTGAACTACTACAAGGATTCTTTGGTAATGAAGACAGGGGTTCTAGGTGTGCATGAGGGCAGGTGATGCTGGCTGCCTCCACTGACAGACCCCAAGATCTCAGGGGTGTATTCCTCCCTCACCTGGAGTCTGGAGGAAAGAGAAACTGCTTCATCTTGCAGCCTTGCTGTGTCACCTGCACCATGCAGTCTCCCGGGTTGCCGCCTCACCAGGGAAGAGAAACTGGAGGAGGCTAGCTTTTAACTGCCATGGTCTGGGAGTTACACGTGGCTCTTCCACTCACAGGCTGTTGGCCAGAACCTGAGACACGGTGTCACCTACCTGAGACACAGTGTCACCTACTGCACAGGGGCTGGGAAGCAGAGGGGACCATGGGGACATTTGGGGAGTGAAAATGCTGTGCACTGCAAGGATCAGTACAGAGGTTAGAAACTTGCAGCCAAATCCAACTCACTTCTGTGTTTACTTTAAAAAGGCGGGGAGGGGAAGAATTCGTTGACAACATTTAAAAATCAGGATATTTCATGTGGAAAAAAAAAATCTGATTCTGGCATCCCTTGGAAAGTAAGATTTGGCAACCCTGGACTTGCCTGCCCACACAGCGGCATGTGTTTGAACTGAGCAGCTGCCACCTCCTTCCAGGGAGCTCTGGTTGGCCACAGTCCCCACCATTCCCTATCGCCCCCAATCCTGTGGCTGAGTGTCGATGCCAATGGTTTCCTCATTTTGCTATTCATTTTTTTCTTACAAAAAAGGGGGAAATGAAGCATCTCTTATGCCTGGGTTGCACTGACCACATCCCTCCTTGCCTGCCTCCTTCCCATAGGCCATTGCTCATAAACTCTAAGTACTTGGCTGGGGCTGCTGCTGGAGATAAAACCTCCAGGGAAACAGGAACTTAACAATTCTGGGCCCTTTTCCAAAAGATGTTCCCCTCAGCTCCCACAGTGGTGGGTAGGATGAAGAAGAAACTGCTAGAATGTTTGAGGTGGGCGGATCTGCAGGAAGGAAGCCAAGGTGTTCCGTGCTACGGGCTATCTGGAAGCTGAGGGTGCACTTAAAACAGTCACACAGATGCAGAGGGACCGCAGAAAGTAGAGCAGAGATTCTCATGTCCCTGCAGCCAAGGTGATTTTGCTTATATTTGCTTTTTGTAGTTTGTATCATGAAGAAAATAGGATTTTTCTTTTTCCAACTATAAAACTGTGTCATTATTGATCTACTTCTTCAGACTCCACACACAGTCTCCCATCGTCTTCCTTGCTGCCTCTTCCAGGAAAAAAGCTGGAGGGTATAAGAGTAAGGATTCAAACCCCAGGTCTGTCACTCTCTAGTCGTGACCTTGGGCATGTCGCTCCACTTCTCTGAGCCTCAGTTTCCTCTTCTGTAAGATGTGATTGATAAGTGAGCTTACCACCACATGAGGTGGTTGTGAGGATGAAATGCAAGGAGAGTTGAGTATGGCCCATGCTCAACAGAGAGAGTAACTAATAGTAAATGCTGACTAAGTGGCAATCTTTAAAAATCTCATTATAAAGATAATTCAAGTCGTTGTTTCTGAGTATTTACTATATACTTAGCATTATTCAGCAGGTTTCTAAAGATGAATAAAACACAGCCTCTATCCTACCCAGACAATATACGAAAGTGCTTCATGAACCGTGAAGAGAAGGGAGGAGGTATCATGGTTGGTATTATTACTAATTCTGCTATGGTTACCACCTCTTGGGAGTTGACACAGAGGCCTGTGGGGCTTGGCGGGATGGCGGCTGTGCGTGGGTGCAGGAAACGTTGCCTGCACGAGGCTTGTGTAGAGATATGGTTGGACTGTTCCAGGACCTCATATGGCCTTGAGCTGCAGGCCCCAGACTGTGGGCTGCAGCAGTGCGGTTTCGCTTAGCCAGCAGGAGAAGACTCAGTCCGGTAGTGGGGCCCTTTGCTGCTGACTGGGCAATTAAGTCTGAGCGCTGGAGAATTCTAATGCAAAGAACTGAGTTCGACGAAGGGCCGACAGCTAGGATCTCAGAGATTTCACAAGAGGCTTATGGGGAAGGCAAGGGAGTGAACACTTATCCACTGCTTTCCACTCCCTGGCATCTTGCAAGAGCTACAGATCCTCACAGCCTGGCGGGCTGCTGCCTCTACCTTACCAGTGGAGTACCTGGGGCTAAGGGAGGGTGGGCAGCCTGGCCATCGTTGCATAGTGACCCTGCTTCAACACAGACCCCAGGCAACTCCCTCCTTGCCTCCCCCTGGACTCTCAATTAAGATGTAGAACATTGTGTTGTTTTGAGTGGTGTCTTTTCACACATCTTCCCTGAACCTCATTTTTCTCATCTCTGGTAGGAGTGGTAGTGATGGCAGCATGATAATTATCAGTAGTAATGGTTAATATTTATGAGTGCTTCCTTTGTGCTTCTCATGCCTACTCCATTTAGGCTTTGAACAGCCCCATGAGATGGGGGCTGTCGTTATCCCCATTTTACAGATGAGGAAACTGAGGCATGGAGGGATCAATAATTTGCTCAAGGACCCTCCAGTAGGAAGCAGAAGACTGGGATTAACTTCCAGCATTGGGGACCATGCAGTCCATGTCCTGGATATACTGTCATACCTGTCATCTGTGATGGGGGGACTATGGTGATTTTCTTATGGACTGGTTATGAAGAGGTATTTAATGAGATAGCACATAGTAGGTGCTCAAGGATTATTGGCTGCAGCTCTTTCTAAATGGTGCTTTTAAGGGAAATGCTGAAACCAGATGAGCCAAGTAAGTATTTTCCTGAAGACTGGGTTTCTCCTCCAAGTGTCCTGTGCCCAAGGCCAGCATTAGTATCCTGGATGAGATGCAGTTTGCTGGAGCTGTAAGAATCCTTAGAAATGGTTTGGTTCACCTCTGCCCTTATTTTATGGATGAAGAAACTGAGGCTCAGAGAGTGGAAGGGCTTGCCTGAGGTCACATAGTGAATAAGTATCAGGCCAGGAGTGACAGCCTGGTCCCCAGTTTCCCAGCTTGTTATGAATGATGAGGTTCTGTGGGGGCACATCTGAAAGTTTAGAGAAACCCCGAGTCCGTGAATTGATAGGTAGGCTTTTCAGGGGAGGATCTGGCACTTTTGTTCCTGTTTACGACTTGCTTCACTTTGGAGACGAGCCCAGCACCCAAAGGTTTTTTTGTGTTCTGTACAAAAACAGCTAAAAATAAAACATGGGGTCATTTGAAACTTCCCAAGTGGGCAGAGGTCACCCCTGCCCCTGGCCTGTGGGAACCTAGCCAGATCCTTTTTCACGAGGCTGTTCGAATAGGAAGAAACCCATCTCCCAGCTATTGTCCAGCTGCGACTAGCTTTGTGTTCCCTCTTTATCTCTTCCCTGAAGTTCCAGCTTGCTGCCCATACTCAAGCCTCAGCACAAATTTCCATTTATAATAAATGTTCGTTAATTCAAGAAAAAGTCCCCAGACCCCACCTATCTCCAAGGGATATTAAAACAATATCCCCAACTTTAAGTCAATTCAGTGAGCGTTTCACCTGCTCAGGGAGGCAGACACTGTAGACCTGGCCTTTCAGCAGGTGGTTCTGTAAGTGAGGATTTGGGATCAGGTCATGAATAAGTTGATCTGAAATGGGGCTATAACAACACCAGAGGTGAAGTCCTAGAAGCACTGGTGTTAGCGTCTCCCTGCCGGGACAACATCCACACATGTTCTTCTCCACGAACCCCCTTGGGCACCTCCCAGTATGCCTCACAATCTTTTGACGTTAGGCATGTGGGATTTCCCCCAACCTCGGGGTCCGATGAGCAATCTGTTCGCTCAGAAGCAGTTGTTTTAGTTCTTGCTCTAGACACTACTGGAAATTTCAGAAATCTCCTATTTAAAAAAAGCCTTTCTCAATTGTGGGTTAAGTCCTGTGAAAACATGGGATTCTAAAGTGCTTGCTTTCTTCAGGAGAAAACTTCCAGACTGTTTGTATCTTCTGGATGATGCAAAGTTTCAGTTTGGATAATTGGAGTGGGGATAATTGAAATTAAGTGACCAGAAAGTGGAGACGTCTTTGTGATTTTCCTATGTCTTTGTTTTTTTCATCAATTGAATCCATCTTGCCCATTCCTGTCACCAGCTCCTTCTCCTGGTCTCCTGGGTCTGAAACCACTCAGACATGTTGGATACCTCTCATCCAATTATTGACCAAGTCTATTTTTGTTTAAAAGGAAAAACACCAAAAACATCCTGTCCTCTCCATTTTTGTTTCCCACCCACACATTCAAGAAACATTGAACCTTCAGGAGTTCCCTAGTACCTCCAGAATGAAAATTGCCCTTAGAATTTCCCATTTGCACAAACATTGCAGACATGCAGAATGATAACAACTGAAATGCTTTATATTCTATGAAACAACAATTTCACATAAATTCAGAATTGTAAACTCTATCTTAGGCCAAAGCATGCACAGCAATATTAATGTTTTGTGATATTTTTCTAGTATCTCTGTGCATATTTGTTGAAGCCAAAAAAAAAAAAAAAAAACCTTTTCATTACTGTGTGTCCTTCTCTTGTGGTTTTGGTAAGCTTTAATCTAATCCAGGGATTGGCCAACTATGGTTTTAGGGCCAAATCCAGTCTGCTGCCTGCTTTTGTAAATAAAGTTTTAATGGAACACAGCCACATCCATTCACCCACATATTATCC